TTATGCAGGGATGTAGATGATAAAAAAGCACCCATGGTTATGTGTTTTTCCTAGCACATGAGGTTATATCTTGTGCTTCAAAGAAACAACCAGTGGTTACTCTTTTAACTATTGAAGTTGAATTCGTTGTGACATCCTATTGTGTTGCATAGTGTATGTGGCTAAAAAGAATTTTCGAACATATGGGTTTTGAAAGCGAGTGTAGCAGGAGCAACGAGATTTTTTTGTAACAATAACTCAACAATCAAGTTGTTCAAGAATCATGTGCTCTATGATAAAAGCAAGCACATTGATGTGCGCTTTCAATTTTTGAGGTAGGTGACAAAGGAGGAAGTAATTAAGATGGAACATTGTGGGACTCATGAGCATATTGAATATATAATGACGAAGCACTCAAGTTGGAGACTTTCTAGTTATCGAGAAGCCAACTTGGAGTATGTGATGCCGAAAAGTTTAGTGCAGCAAAGTGAATCGATGTTTGTGAAAGTGTTTTAAGTTTGAGGGAGGATGATGTTGATGATCATGTTTTAAGTTGGGGAGTCTTTTAGTAGTGGGCTGGAAGCCTAGAACCCAACAATATGAGTTTGAAAGTTGTTTGTCGTGGCCTACAGCAGTGGTCATAATCATGTACTTTTAGTTTATTCAGTTCATCAATAAAGAATTTGCCAGTTAGCTTCCCATTTTGTGTTAATAGGACTCGTAATCGGGACAAAGATGAGGTGAAGAATATCCTCATCGAATTGGACGACATTGAGAGATTTCTCATCGGTGGTTGGGCTAGATCTAGTTCCCAATCCTGATAGTTACTCCATCAATTAAAGTAGATGGGTGTCAAATCCGTGGGGTCCACAAATTTGGTCTTTATTTGGATCTAATTCGGTGAACCACATAGACTTGTAAACCCCCATATATTATGTTGGGATTTGGTGGATGGCAGGATTTCCATAGAATCTTGAAATACAATTGATCTTTGTAACAAAAATTCCATCATAAATATATCATCAAATATACCATGCAAATAATGAACTCTTCAAATCTATATAATGCAATAAATTCAACATAATTTTTACCAAAATTCCATCATAAATATATCATCAAATCTACCATGCAAATAATAAACTCTCCAAATCTATATAATGCAATAAATTCAATATAATTTTTACCAAAAAGCCTGATTTTTCAATTTCAACAAACAAACGACCTTTAACCTCTTAGGCTCTTACTAATCTCCTCTTAAGCGGGAGGAGATGGTGTGTGCAAAATCGGAAGGCGATTTGGGTATAAGAGGTTGCGTGGGTTCAATGAAGTCATCTTAGCAAAACAACTATGGCGAATCCACCAACGCCCACTGTCTCTGGTGTTTCCAGTGTGCTTGAAGCCTCGGTTTTTCCAGCCAAGTTTAATTTAGCGCATTATGATGAGCGTTCAAGAATTGCTACGTGGTGGGATACGTTGGCGCATCGGGGATGAGAGTTTGGTACGTATCTGGGGGGATAAATGGCTCTCGGAGGAACCTTACTATGTGGTCGATGCGCCAACATGCTTGGATGTGACGTTTAGCGTCAAAGAACTAATTGACCCAGAGACAAGGTTTTAGGATCTTCCGTTGGTGGAAGCTTGCTTTCAATCGGGTACGATACGACATATTTGCCAAATCCCGCCAAGAGAATGTGAAGAACAGGATACGCTGACTTGGGCAAATAATGAGAAGGGAGTCTACACAGTTAAGGATGACAACCACTTTTGGTTGGAGGATTTTAAGCGGAGGAATGGGGTGAGCTAGATTGGGAGTCCGGAAGTTTGGAACAAGCTATGGAGGATGAAAATTCCTCCCAAAATCCAATACTTCATCTGGCATTTTTGCTCGACATGTTCTTCCAACGGAGAATCACAATAGTACCAAAAGCAAGAGGTAGGGGGGGGGATAAATGCCCTGTTTGTGATGCCCGAGAAACACAGACACACCTGTTCAGAGAGTGTGAGTGGGTTACCAGGATATGGAGGACAACGGAGCTTAGTAGCTGCTTTCCCAATAGAGGAAATGTGGGCTGCTATGATTAGTTTAAGGAGGTGATGGCGAGAAATGGGGACGAGGTGTTGGAGAGCTGGTGTGTGCTCTTATGGTTCTTTTGGAAAGAAATGAGTGTTATATTTTCAATGGCAAAAAGCTTTTGGAATCCGAGATTGTGCTGAAAGCAAAATTTTTCTTGAGGACTATAAAGCTCGACAATTAAAGATTGTAGTTGAGCAGCACATACACGAGACTAAGGGAAGGAGCAGGCCACAGAAAGGGAGGTGCCAATCAATATTGATGTAGGGACAGTGGAGGATGGAGTAACTGGGTTGGGACTGGTTATTCGTGGGAATGGAGGCCGATTTTTGCTTGCTGCAGCGAGGAACATTCCAAGCCAGGTGAACGTTGAAACCGCTGAAGTACTTGCAGTAGAGTTAGGAGTCCAGCTGGCGTTTCAATGTCCCGTGAAGAGATACGTCCTGGAGATGGATAGGCTGTCATTAACAGGTAAATTGGAAATGATGGTTGAAGTTCACACCGAGGTTGGAATTATATGTAGGATCATCCGACGAAAGCTAGCTGAGTTGAATGGCGAATGTCGTGTTCTCCCAAAATAAGGTAACAAGGTTGCTCATGTGATGGCCCATGCCAAGTCCCATTTGAATGAACAATAACGGTTTATATTGTTAATCAGTTAGTGCAGGACAATGTAACAATAGTTTCTTATCAATAAATTTCAGCAGATTCCCATAAAAAAAGGTAAATACAATATAATATCCAAAACCTTTCATTTTAAACAAAATAATATCCAAATTTTTGATAAACAAAATAATAGCCAAACCATTAATTTTACGTCCGGTCAACTGTTAGTTGACTATGACGTGGCAAAATATTACATGAGCTGGATTAGTTCTGCTTAAGTGGCAAGAAGTCAAACGTTAGACCTTGTGCCACATGGAAATTACATTCTTTTGATAAATAAAATTTTTATTTTAGAAAATTAAATAAAAAAGGATAGATCCGAATCCGATCAAATCCCCCTCTCTCTCTCGTCTAATTCATTTCAATCCATACCCTTCCTCCGGCGAAACTCAACCGCCGCCACAACAGAATGAAAACCAAACCCCCCCGTCGTGACCCAATCTAAACGGCGCAATCTGTACCTGCGACCCATTCAGCCTCAACTTACTCCAAATCTCGCTTCCCTCGATCAAAAGCTCTACCACTACCACTGCTAATCACAAAGTCCATTTGAAACGACCAATCGCCGTCACTTCCGTCAACCAAAAGCTCCGCCGCCGTCACTCCTAATTCCAAAATCCATCTTGAACGGCCATCTACCTCTGAATCTCGCTGAACCTCAGAAGGGTAGAAATTATTGGAGGCCAGCTCGACCCCTATTCTCGAGACGATGTCGCCACCGGCCCTTCTCCCTGTGGAATAGAGAAGAAGAAGTGGGAGGAGGAGTCAGCGTTTGCGACAGGGAAGAAGCCGACAGGGAAGAAGGTGGGAGAGAGTCAGAGAGAGTAAGGAGTTAGGATCTTGAGCCAATCCCTGCCGCTTGGGCCCCATATCGTCACCATCTCCCCCTTCCCCAACCCCTGCCGAGCGCCAAATCAAACTTCAGGTTCATCGAGGAGCCAGATTCGGGAGACAATCTTGTCGGTCGCAAGAGGGAGGAGCACGAACGATCTTCCGCAAGTTCCCCCAATGCTCGATCTCCCGTAAGCATCCTCGGCTACCGTTCTCCAGCCGTCGGCCAGACCTTCCTCTACGTGGGTCCCCGCTTGTTCGTCTTAGAACTCATAACCCAGATTCCAATTTAACTGGAGGAGGACATAACCCATATTCCAATTTGACTGGAGGAGGACATAATCTTTGCCGAAAGAAGAATTGTCATCGGAGTGGAGAAGTTTGAGGAAGAGCAGGAATAAGAGACAAAAGTTTGAGAATAATATGATTTATTTTTTGTTTTCTTGTTTTAAATATTAAAACATAATTAGGTTGAAATTAATAAATAAAATTAACAGTCAGCCTATGAAATTTTTGCCACATCATCAAGATTTGTCCAACTCAGCAATTAAATTGCCATGTCAGAGTCAATTAACAGACAATAGGATGAAAAGTTAAAGATTTGAATATTATTTTGTTTTTAAAAGTTTGATTATTATTTTGTTTAAAATAAAATTATATTGTATTTACCAGTGTTGTCAAAGCCGAACCGAGCCGGCCGGCCGGACCGCCAAAGCCGCCACCCGGCAGAAAAACCGGCTCGGATCAGCTATTTAACCGCCACGGTTTTATACAGCGGCCGGCGAGCGGCCGAAGCGGTTAACCGCTCGAGCCGCTCAAGCCGGTCGCGCGGTTCGGCCGTTTGGTTTACCCTAAAAAAAATAGAGAAGGTCAATCGTGGAATGGGGCAGCCAAACAAAACCCTAACTTTCATTTTATTTCTTCATTTTCGACCTAGAAGTAGAATAGACGACAGAGGGAGAGCGGTTTCCATGTTTAAGACTCTTGTTTAATGTTCAGACTCGTGTGATATTGCTTTTATTTTGGAACAATGTGGTGGTTAGGAATTGAATTTTAGATCTTTCAGTACTGATGTTCTAGAATGGTTTAAGAGAGTAATTTACTTGTGGTTTACCATGATTAAGAAGTGTCTACTATTTATACAGATGACTGTTTATTAGGTACCGGTTCTCAAACGGTTTTTAAACGGTCTAATACCGGCTGGACCACTAATGACCGAGCCGTTCTCGTTACCGGGTCATACTCCGGCTCGGCTTTGATAGCATTGGTATTTACCCTAAAAAAATCTAGTGATCGATGTCCGCTCAAAATCTTATAACTTTCAAGTCGATCTGGTGGATTTTCTCTTCTTCGTTTTTCGTCAAGCCCAACCCAGTTAGATTACGAGATCCAGTTCAAACCTGTTCTCCAAAATATCTGCTACTGGATCAATTACTTGGGCTTTCCTTGTGCAGGCAGATTCAGATTGGAAGGAAACTACGAGGTGTCCTTCTCGTTGTCGTTCCGCCGGGAAACTGTTAGCCTAATAGCGCAGAAGGAGGAGGGAGAGAATAGAAATGCAAACAATATCAGACGGGGATAATTGAAAAGGAAAACTCTCGAATCGGAAGTTGAAACCCTCTCTTCTGTCTTCTCGATTGATTCGGCATCATAATGACCGGAGAAGGAGAAGGCAGGGGCCTCGCCGCCGCCGGCAACCCTAACAACCCGCTCTACTACGGGACTTTTCAAGGCGTCGCCAATTACTACCCGCCTTCTGCTCCTCCGCCGTTTACACAACAATCCCAGCCTGCCGTCGGTTTCGTCCAGCCGATCGCCCCTCTTCGTGGCCCCGTCGTGAACCACCCTTACTATGCACATGGATACCACGCCATTGACACCGGTGCCTCTCTCTCTCTCTCTCTCTCTCTCTCTCTCTCTCTCTCTCTCTCTCGTTTCCCCATTATTTCATTGCTCTTATGCTAATATTTTTTGGTTGTCTGTTTCAAGGTTATGTGATTGCAGAGGGCAGGCCTTTAATTAGGGAATTTCCCCTCCCTTGCTGTGGAATGGGCATGGGATGGTTCTTGTAAGTTTTGGATCTTCAAATTTCAACATCTATTATGATCATTAATGGCGAAATGACCTATCTTTCCCCCCTTTTAATCTCTTCTCCATTGGGATGAGTTCATTCTTCGCCTCCCTCTTGGATGGACGAGGAAAGAACTTCACGTGTATGCTTCCCTGACACAGTTGCCTTTGTTGTTCATCAATTCCTATTTTGGTTATAACAATGGATGATCGGTAGACGTTTCCCCTAGTAGTTTGCCCAATTTTGTTTAACAAAACTGGTATAAATGAAATGGGTTGAGTAGCTTGTTAGGTTATCTGAATCACAAACTTGTAAGTTGGGTAATTTAATATATACTGCCTGTCCTGTACTAGTGGTTGCTATCTATCAAGAGCTGTTTCTTTACTCGTGATTTCGATATAATCTATTGAGCCTGTCATTGTGCTGAACATCCTAGAATATCTATAAAGCTAATGCCTGTTGCTCTTGGTTTCTTTCATTCTTTCAATTTCTTTTTGTTTGCTTATTGTTGTTGGGGTTTGAGGCGGATGTTTTTTTGACAAAGGGTTTGAGGTGAATTTGGTGAGACTTCTTCGTGCATGTTTTTATATGTTGTATTGCATCTATCATTGTTATCAACATCCAAGAATGCCTGAAAAGCTAATGAGTGTTGCTCTTGGTTTCTTCCAATCTTTCTATTTCCTTTTGTTTGCTTATTGTTGTTGGGGTGGATTTGGTGAGATTTCTTTCCTTATGTTTTTATATATAGTATTGAATCTGTCCTCGTAACCAACATCCAATCATGCCTGAAAATCTGATGCGTGTTGTTCTTGTTTTCATTTGTTCTTTCAATGTCTTTTATTTTGCTTAATGTAATCTGAGTTTTGGGGTGGATTTGGTGCAGCTAACATAACCCTTTTCCTGTTATCCTGCAAGGTTTATTGTTGGCTTCTTCTTTGGTGGCATTCCTTGGTACATTGGGGCATTTGTTCTACTATTCGCACAAGTGGACTACAGAGAGAAGCCTGGATATGTTGCGTGTGTGATAGCTGTGAGTATTGGTTTGCCTGCTAATATTCCCCTTTGCTTGTGGACTTCGAAGCTATTTTGATTTCCTTGTCTCGTATGAGTTATGACTGGACTTATGTCCAGTTCTTGAAAAAGAGCATGCTAGTCGGGAAACATCGTCAGTTTCTATGATATGTCCTCGTTGCTCTTATAACCAATATCTTAATGTTTTTATTAGCTGTTAATTTTAGATGGTTTCTTTTGTCAATCGGAGAAGCTGTCAACTGGATTAGATAGTAAAAGTGGACTTATGTGTGACATAAGTATCAAACTAAGTGAGTGATTGTGAAATCATTAGGTGTTCTCACAATTCGTTGACAATTATAGAATCGATGAAGTTATTAAAATATGTGAGTGGCGTTAACGATTAGATAGTCTCTCAAACTTTTGGAGTTCTACAGAAGAGAAGTAGGTAAAATTGGCGTCCACTTCATTTTAGAAGTGTAGTTTAAAATATAAATATCGAAACTGAGAGATTTTATTGTAAAATTAGTAGTTGATGAACCGGTGGCACCACCTCATGCCAAATGGTTGAATCAAGTGTTTACTCTCTCTTCGTACAGCATATGATGTTACGGGTATCCTGATACTTGTCCAGTTCAATAAGTCTGATCAGAACATCAGTCTTGTTTAGGTTTAAAGTAGCTAGTCAACTACACTAATCCATTCTAGTTTATGGAAGGCATGCTTTGGTGTCGCCATTGGTGAATATGAGTATATACATGTCTCTCAAGTTCTTCATCTCTCATTATTCTTTAAACAATAAACAGACTTGGGCTCATACCGTTTGTCAGAAATTTGAGTATATCCTGATACAACCTGTTTCTCTGATTCCAGTCAGTTCTTGCCATGATTGCTGTTACGCTTGGGGTTACTAAAGGAGCTAACACCTGGTGAAGACCCAAACGTGGAGTTTGCATGTTCTACAGAGTGATCGACTCGTTTATGCAGTTTACCATTCAGGTTACTTATTTGAAAGGTGGTATAGCCGTGGTGGAATCATTATGTTGTGCAGGGGGGAGATGTAGGATGGCCGATGGGTGTTTGGCAATATGGAACTATTTTTTCATGTGTTAACTGATGGTTGTGGCATCGATCATCCCTGTAAATTTTTTACTTAAACTAGAAGGAATTGGGCTGTATATCAGACATCAGTCACTGTTGATTGGCTGTATATTGATGCATTACTTGATCAATGATGATTACGTTTCCCTTCTCTTTCTTTGGTTTGAATCACTGATTTTCAGGCCCCTTAATCGGTGTCGATTAATAGTTCATTACACTTCGAGCCTCTAGTTCATTACAATTCCAGCCTAGAGGCAACATGAAGAGATCAAAACACTTGTTTAACTCGATTAAATTTCATCTCAAGATTGGAATTTGATCACCTGATTTGGCTACAAGTAAACATATACATCCATGCAATTGGTGGCTTGTTTATGTATTTTCATTTGTTTGGTAGGTTATTCATCTTAAACAGTCGAAGGCTAGTAGGCAATGAAGTAAACTCACCTTAGTTCTTACCGTAGCCGGTAATTTTCGGGTGATTAGATGTTACGCATCGGATAAATTCGGTTCATATTTTCAATGATAACTCATTGTAAATACGGATGATAGTCCATTAGGTGTTGAGGATCGTATACTAATTTGCTAGATAATACTATTTAGAGAAAACAAATATAGGTTCCGGAAGGCATTCGTCTTCTAGCTATGAAGTCTAGCTATGAACTTTGGCTTCTGGTCTTGTTCTTTTTGCTTCGTGTAGTGATAGTAGGGTTGCGCATTTTGTGGTTAAACAAACTTTTTCATCAAAAGTTCGATTATTGGCATTGGTCCATGAAACCATACCGTACCAGTGGTTCAACCACAAAATACCAGTATCGGAAGCTAAACCGTTAGACGGTATTTAACTGTACTAACGGTTGAACTATGATTAAACCACGATTTTGCTATAAAGTATCATACCGCTGACTTTTCCAGTACGGTCTCCGACAAGGTTTCATGGACTCAAATTTCCTGCAACAAGAGTGAAAGTAGGAAGGGTATTTTCGTCTACACCATGGTCCCTTCCACCAAAGACAAGAATTGTAACCAATTAGACTAGATACATTTGTTGTACTTTATTAATACAAAACATAGAGAAAGTTAAAATTATGAAAAACAAAGTACTTTTCTATCACGGTTAGCTAAGTCATCTGTAAGTATTTTGTGGAGTTTGATACTTCTATTTTCATATTTTAATAATTAATTTATATTTTTTTCTAACTTATAAATGAATGATAATCTTAAAATCTCAACACAAATATCATTGGTTGGAATATTGCGCATTGAATTGAAGTGTTGAATGAAGTGTTCAATGACGATATAAGGACACTGGTACCATACATTTCAAGATAAATAAAAAAAACACCGATACCAATTATCTCGACAGTCTATGCTAAAATTCAAAATTGTTTAATCATTCAATTTGTATGATAGTTTAGTCAAATCAAGCAAATAATTCACGATTGTGTATGAACAAAAATAAAAACATATGTATTGTATTATGAAAAATGTAATTATTTTAACAATCTAAAAAAACAATCAAAACTTCCATACGACCCCTTATTTCCATATTGTAATTAATGAAATAATTTTTATCAGCATGATGCAATGTTCAAGCTAAGGTCCAAGTATTAACACCAGTATATAGTATTCATCATAGTTAACTATTTCAATATCCACAACTAACTATTAATGGTTACTTGCTTTCTCTTAGAGAGTTTAAAGTAACACTCTCGTGCCTATCTATGCTCTAAGCATTTGTTTTCTTTTTCACAATATCATTTGCAGTTATTTATTAAATCAACTTTGTTTATAGCTTTCAATTCCTAATTATTCACTTCTTCATACCAACTTATGAGAAGGCTAAATATATTTTTCATGTATAATCTATTAAACATAAATGTTGTTTATCACTTAAATTCAATGGTATCCATGTTAGGTTTGATGTCACCAACATATTCTCCCAATTTCTCCTAAAAGCATAATATATTGCGCTTGATATCATAGTTTCGTCAGGTAAAGTTCAACAAACTCAATCAATATTCGAACTCTTCGAAATAGCTATCTACATGCGAATATGAAGTACTGAGTAGCTAAAACTCTACTTGAGTTAGTACAATCTTTTGCGCTATCGATTCAAAATTCATACATGTTATCTTAGTACAATTTAGTCATACTAATTGTGCAGTAGGGGACATCTTATCAAAATCTTATAGAAAGACTCTTTGATTGATCGCTTTATTGATGTAATCAATTATACCAAAATAGAAGTGATCAAATTTATAAGATGCACTCAAAGTTTGCTATAATTATTTATTATTGAGGTTCAGCAGCACGTTAGGCGTACGACGGTCATTAGGCATTTGTTTATCTCCTAACTCGCCTAGACATGCTTAGACATTATAATAAAAATAGCAATTTTAATAATAATGAATAAAATAACGGTTCTGGAACAATTTTATACTTTAGTTCAAATGATTTAACAACAAATGAAATAACTCTCAAGTTTATAAATTATTTTCTTTTACCAAATGATATAATTAATTCATTCATGAGCTGAAATATATAATTATAAGCACTTCAAATTTAAGTTAAAACTCTATATGATGCAATTGTTTGAGGAAATGGGTTTTATAATAGAGTGGTTCTATCGAGAGAGGTCTCTAAGAAACATGGCTTACTTTATTATTCCTTAGGTGGATATAATATCTATCTTCATCGTTATTTTTACATTGGATTCAATTTAGTATACTTTTCATTTAGATAGATTTTTTTATGATGTTCTAGGATATAATATATCATTATATATGATGGTGTAGGATATTAATTCCTCTCATTTTAGGTTCAAATTGATGCATTTTCCCCTTAACCGTTCCCTTTTAATGGTTAATAATTTTTATGATATTTTTCATTTTGAAATATCGTGAGCGGAATCTATTCACAACAATTTGTGTTTTTTCGCTTCCTCTTCTCTTGGTTAGATATTGTGACCATATTGATTCCTATATTGATTATCGAATTACTACTTTTTTGTTCTTTTTCCTGATGCAAGATATGATTTTATGTTTGATAATATAGATTTATTTTGCAAGCATGTGGATGCTTGAGAGTAGGTTGTCAACCCGCAGGTCGACCCCTGGGTCGACCCACTTTGACCCTGACCCGGTGAGTAAAACGGGCTGCATGCACCCGCCGAGTCGACCGCTACAAGGTACCGGGTTAGAGGTCAAATTGTGTCATTTTTTTATTTGGTTTGCGAAATGCGTCTATTTTCCGATTTTCTTTTCGCCTAACTCAATCTTTGGAATCCTAAGTTGAACATTTGAATATTGTTGTTATATAATTGTGTGTGAATTTTCACTATATGTTGGATCTAAGTACGACATGTTATTTTAGTGTAATATTATATGTTATAACTCATATGTTAGATGATATTTGATATAATTTATCAAGATAAGTATAATATAATGACTCTTTCCATATTTTCGGGCTAAACCGGGCTAAACTAGGTGACCCATTAACCCTTGACCCACTAGTTTCACCGGGTCCGGGTCAACCCGCGGGTTGACAACCTTCTCTTGAGACTTTTCATTTGCCTCATAACTTACATTTTACAATGGCTCCAAACTTGGATGAGTTTCTATTCAACACATAAATTTTTAATGATGTAAAATTTATGAAACTAAGATGCATATTAATAAACAATGTAAGGTCTCATCTTTCCTCTTAAGCACTACATATCATTGTTTACTTACCATCAAATCAAAGTCTTTCTAACTTGAGTAAGAGCTACAATGACTTTTATTAACTTTCACTACTCATATATCACACGTGTTCAAATTTTTATTGTTGTTGATTTCCCCCAAAATGTTAGGTATGCTGCTTTTAGTTTTTGCCTTCTTTTCGCTTTGATTTAGCTTTTTATGTGTTGCCCTATTAGTTGAACTTGCAGGTGGAGATCTGGATGCTTTGTTTCATTATATCATTGAATACACTAAAGTCAATGGAACCATGACTGTGTGAGTTAGTTTGTTTATTTTTAAGTACACTCTAAACATATAGTTTGTTTCATTATATCATCGAATACACGAAAGTCCATGGAAAAGGCAAAAAAAATTATCGTATACTGAAGATTGATTATGTATGTGTGATGTAAAACAACTCTTATCATTGTTCTTCTTAGACATTTTTATATAGATATGACATTGTTTGAAATATGAATTTATGTTAGTGTAGCTGGGCGTTGTTTGTCATTTTTTAAATTTCATTAGTCAAATACATTAAATACTTTCCTATATTATTCATGGGGCTAAATTACATGTTTGGTCACTCGAATTAGATAAATATTTCACGTTTGCCACCCGAATTACTTTTCTTTCTTATTAGCCACTAACTTTACAATTCGTTTCATCAATAGTCACCGGCCGTTAGTCTCCGTTAAACTCCACTAACGCCGTCAGAATTTTAATGACGTGGCAAACGGACGGAAGTCAACGGAAGTAATGACTGGGTTAAAAAAAAAGTTGAGTTATACAATTTAAACGCCTAGTCAGCAAAACAAAACAAAAACTAAAAGAAAGATACAAAAAGTTACCCTTCCCAATCCTTCGTCCCCTCTCTCGATTTGAGAGACACCCACCACCCTTAAAAAAAAAAGCTCCACCACCTGTTGCTTGAGTCTCTACCTTTCTTCCCTCTGATCTCCGTCCAAATACATCTCCGTTTCAATCCAACACCACAAATCGTCACAATATTTCCATATCCAACACCACTTTCTATTTCGTTCATCTTTTCCCAAAAACCCCCAAATCTCATCTGCCGCAGCCTCCACCGTCGGAGTTATTTCCGTGACCGGCTGCACCACCAAGCTTTCCCGTCGCCATCGGATCCTCCATCCTCTCCAAGACCAATCGCTACAGCCTCCTATTAAGACCACTGCTACAGCCTCCTCCGGGAATCCACGATATCGTCATCGGCCGCTGCACGTATCAACATCGATGCGTAGTTGTCGTCATCCCCAGTTTCTTCTTCCAGATCTAGAGAAACCTTCCAAAACATAACCACCCCTAAAAATCAAATTAAAACTCCTTAAACTCGGAATCAAACGAAACCCTAAAAATCGACAAGCATTGAGAAGGAATAGACCACTTACCATCTTCGTTCTCTCAGCGTTGACGAGAGCAAAGCACCGACAAATTGAGATCGAGGGAGGAGGAGAGTGTGATATGGGGTTCTTATCTGTCTGTCTGGGTTTGATAGAAGAGGGAAGAGAGAGAGTATGTCGAGAAGAAGCAAAGAGGGGGAAGGAGGATGAGAAGCAGCGAGGGGAAAGGAGGGCCGACATTGGTGAGTTGGGTTTAGTTGTAAATAATAATAAAAATAATAATAATAATTCCAGTTCAGCTTTCTGTCATCCCAGTCAGTAATTCTGTTTGCCACGTCATCAAAAATTTAACGGTGTTAACGGAGTCTGACGGAACTTAACGGCCGGTGACTAACTGTGAAAAGATTTGTAAAGTTAGTGGTCACTAAGAAAGAAAAGTAATTTGAGTGGCAAACATGAAAGATTTATATAATTTGAGTGACCAAACATGTAATTTATCCTTATTCATGGAGAACTTACCAAATTAAATTGTTACTTCAATCCTCCATGTTTACTGCACATACATATGAAAATCAAACTCTCCCGGCCAAGAGGCCGGGCCCTAATCTAGTCCTTTTTTTTTTTATCATACCCTAATCTAGTCCTTTGATTATGTATTTATGTCAAAGAAATAGTAAAATGCACATGTCGATTGGGCTTGGGTCAGTCAAGCACACAGAATAACTGAAAAACTGTCTTGGGAAACCTTGATGTCATTGACTATGAGTCCATGACAGTCAGGCCCAACAAGTCATCCATCAACGTACTTCTATTGGGCTTTGCCCACTGTTAATTAGCAATGCCCCGCAAGCCCGACGAGCGCATTAGGGTTCGTCTACATCTTCGAGCTAGTTATATAAAGCCGCAGAAAAACCCTACCGCTCGCTTTCTGTAGGTAAGTGAGAGACGGAGGAGCAGCTGCACGGATCTTCCTCTTGCTGCGAAAATGGTCGCATACAGGGTACGTATCTGCTTCCTTTACCTGATCTTTCATTGTTCTGATGCATCTTGGCCGGTTCCTCTCTGTCATTGATGTTCGTCGTAGCTCAATTTACATTTCACTTGATTGTTCTGGTGCTCCATTGCGTAGTTTTGTCTATCTAGGTAAAGTAGCAAGCTCGCGATTTTTTTAGATTAATTATTTGGTGGAGCTGGAAATGTTGGCTAGATATGATAAGATCTCCTGGATTTTGAGCTAGTTATGATTGCGGTTTATGGGGTCAATTCATTCGTTTGCTTGCTTGAGTCGTATTTTGGGGATTTGGCACTCGTATGTTCCTGTCTTACCACATTGCTTTGAACGGTTTGAGTTTTAGTTCTTCATTTGGAATTTGGGTACTGTGGCATGTTCAAATTTTGGTGGAATGAGTCTTAAAGTTAATGTCTTGAGTTTGTAGATTCGGGTGGTGATTGGGATGCATTTTATTCAGATATGTTATTGTTCGGGAATCTAATGGGCAAGGTTAGGGTGATTATTAATTGATGTTTTTTGTGTGTGTGTGTGTGTACAGTATCACCAGTACCAGGTTGTTGGAAGAGCCCTCCCAACTGAGGGTGATGAGCATCCCAAGATTTACAGGATGAAGTTGTGGCACACAAATGAAGTCCGTGCTAAGTCCAAGTTCTGGTAAGTGGGTGTGTTTCGGTAGCTGTTTTGAGGCTGTTTTTATTTTTAATGTGTTTCTGATGGGACCTTTGATTTTGGTTTGGGATTGAGCAGGTACTTCTTGAGGAAGTTGAAGAAGGTGAAGAAAAGCAATGGTCAAATCCTTGCTATCAACGAGGTAAAACTTCTGTGGGTGTTTTGACTGAATCAGCTACCTGATCTATGTTAGTGGGCTTTTTTAGGTTGTTTTCTATGTTTAGGATTGGACCATTGAGTGGTTAACTTATTGCTTCATCATCTAGTCGGTATGGACTATACTAATTCCTACATGACTCGTTCCCTTGAAGCTATAAAACTTGTGTTGCTTTTTTCAATCTCCCCCTTGGTAATACTATTTTTGCCCCGGGGGTACACTGGAGCAGCTACATTTCCTTTATGTCAATCTCAATCTTATCAGTTCAATTCAAGTCTTAATCCCTGGGTGTCTGGATTTGTCTAGCAAGGTTCTGTGGTGTCATCATTGCTTATTCTTCCTCTATTCTTGGACATGTCCATCTTGATAGTTGATGATCCAAGTGCTTCATTATCTAGTCTATGGGTTAATTTAGTTCCTGTTTGACTCGTTCCCTTGAAGCTAGAGTTCATGTGTTGCTTTTCTAATCTCCCCAACGGTCAATTCTTATTTTGCTTTGGGGAACACTGGGGCAACTACATGTGTTACTGATATCATCATATCTTGTTCTGGTACCATGTTTTCTTTTTCGCTTGTTAAGTATTCATCATTTGAGTTGTAACCATCATATTATGATGGGTCTTTTTGCAGATCTTCGAGAAGAACCCAACCAAGATAAACAACTACGGGATCTGGCTCCGCTACCAGAGTCGAACCGGGTATCACAACATGTACAAGGAGTTCAGGGACACCACTCTGAACGGTGCTGTGGAGCAGATGTACACTGAGATGGCTTCTCGCCACAGAGTGAGGTCTCCATGCATTCAGGTGATCAAAACTGCCACCATCCCTGCCAAGCTGTGCAAGAGGGAGAGCACCAAGCAGTTCCACAACTCCAAGATCAAGTTCCCATTGGTGTTCAAGAAGGTGAGGCCCCCGACCAGGAAGCTGAAGACGACTTACAAGGCATCCAGGCCCAACTTGTTTGTGTAGGGATTCTCATCGCGTTTGGTGAATGTGAATGAGAGACGCAGCTAGAGTTGGATGTGGGGGCTGGGTTATCGATGGAGCTTTTCTGTTTTTAGAAGACTTGTTTGTTTCATCAGTTTTGTTGATTTGGAAGGATGTTCAATTTTGGAACCCCAAAGTTGTAGTAGCTTTTATCAAATGGATGAGAATTGAATTTTGTGTGGAAGAAGACATCTTTGCTTTCATAACTTTGCAGGTAATTCGGTTTCATATCTTAGCTGTTATAAAATCAGCTTTAGTAATCACTACTGAGCAAATAGTGCTTACTCAATTATGAATAGATGGCTTTGATTAGTGAATTATGCCATGGATTAATCATTTATTGATGTTTATTTGGATAAAGCAATTACCAAATGCTTGTTTAATACAAATGAAGTGGAAGATAATGTTAAAAACTAATCTCACAAATCGAGATGCTTACGATGCCATCCTTGCTCACAAATGGTCCCAAACTCAGTCATTCATCAGTGAAGAATGGGAATGCAGACTTTTGTTTAGTTTTCACTTTTCATTCACATCCTTGATTTCAATAGAAAGTTTAGTTTTCATTCACATCTTTGTTAGAGCATACCTTCTTTGTTTCTTTGAAAAGATAGTTGAGAGCGGGATGTGTTTGCTTCACTAATATCCCTTTTGTACACGCCTTTAGCTTTCAAATCCCTACAAATTGATTGCATCTCCAATAATATTATCTTGCTTCTTTCTAACTTTCTGATCAGTGTCAAACAATCCATATACATTATAGACGTCATGAATGAGATTTGTAGCTTGTATTACCTCATTAAACTCTCACCGTCGTAATGATTTGTAAAATTTAATCCATAAAGAAAATAGATGAATGTATTTGGTAATTTTTATAATAATAGAATTGATAAAAATAAGATGAATGAGATTTACGACAATGTACCTTAACGTTAATCTGAAATTCAAAATGAGCAAAAATATATTATATGAACTACGTAAAGAAATGAACAAGCAAACTTCGGGACATGCTGATAACCGCAGCAGCAGCAGCAGCAGCAGCCATGTGATAGGGAAAAAGCTTTGCCTTTGAGGGATTATTTGTCAAAAGGGCAAAGGCATCCATTGAGCATTTACAAGTCAAAATCCACTACATACTCTACACGACTGGGATGATTGATGGGGATTGCTCACCAAACTCTTGTTCTCTCTTTGGGTATCTTGAAAAATTTTCAAGTTGAATTAAAAGACGCATTGAAGGTAATGATTATGGCTACTTTACTGTTACTATACATTACTGACCCCATTACAGACATGCGGACCGATTTGCAGGGTTTGAGAAATCGTATCGTACTGACATTTCGATTGGAAAACTTCTTACAAAATTAGAAATCGGTAGTCAATCTTTTAACAGTATAAAATTGTCGAATCATAGTTAAATCATGGTATCAACATAAAATATATTACCTCTATTTTTTTCGATACAACCTCCTATACGGTTTACAATCCTTGTGAATTTGGTTTGAGGTATTTCGGAAATAAAGTTAGAGTACTAAATAGATATTATTTATAGAAGATAAGATTAATCAATGATTTTTGGCTCTTTCGACATTTCACTAGTTCTCATCCATTGTTATCTTTCTTCTTTTAGATCTCCTTTTTTTCCCCCCTCTTCTCGTATCTCTGTTCTTTCAAATTCATTCATCGGACTCGATATTGCAAGTCCAATTTCATCGAACCACAATATTCATCGAACCACAATTCCAATTTCTGATTGCGAGTGAACCATGTAAATTTTGCATCGTGTGATTGTTATAATTTTCAAACATCAAACTCAATCCTCTAGAAATTAAATTATGTTAATGGCTTACCTCTTCAATCACCTACCGACTAGAAACCTTTATCAACTCTTATTACTCATCATTAGTATTTGTTATCAACCATATGATAGCGCAGAAGAAAGTAAGGAAGGTGGTTGATTGCATTTGCATGTAGGACCAAAGGGAAAGAAGCTTAAAATCCTCTCTAGCTATACTCACCATTCATTGGTCATGCTTATATCTTCGAGGTCTCATACTACCATCGTTAATTTCTTCATCAACCTCATTTCATCTCTCAGGTGAGAATCTTAGTAATCATAGCTATCTTATGATCTATGATCAGTAGATTTACATAGATTTTTCTAGCGATTAAGTTGTAGTGATTTTCTTTCATGATTAGCATCTGTTAACACTTTGTTTAATAATGTTATGTTTTTTCTACCCAAGTGATTATTGACTTCAAAGTTTGAATGCGAAATACAGGTATTAACATGATCAAATTTAACTAAACAACTCAACATGCTCAATATTCCAACTGAATGAGTTTTCATACAAGAGAGAGTAAGCGAAAACCCTAAAAAGTGTTCAAATTTTAGTTTTAGAAGACGAATTTAAAAATGTAATTACACGATGATTAATAGTAATAGTGATTTATGAAGTATTTGATCAATATAAAACACTCAGATACAGTTTTTTTTCATGTTTGTGAAATTTTACCAGAAATTACATCAGAATATTTAGCAGAATGATATTTAATGTTAATATGTAGTTTAATCCGCAACTTATATATAGAACATCGACGTGAAAATATACCGAAGAAAGATAATATATATTGATTAAAAATATCAAAAAAACTCCAACAAAATCGACCAAAATATCACGGATAGAAGATTGACCAAATTGTATCGAACATGACAAATCTTTCATTTTATATGTGTATACCCATATCCTATCGCCGATAATAAACAATTTGTACGATCCAACAGTCATTAGTTACGATACAATACTACGAAACATAATTCTTTCACCCAATTCTCTATCGCTTCTCTTAAGTTTTATATACCAAACTTTTTTAGTTTTGACAAGAGAGCAAAAGCTTAAAGCTACATATCATACTAATGGGATTTCCATCTTTCTACATGACTGCCACAATATATGATACGGTCCCCCAAAGTCTAGAAAGCAAAACCACTCTCTATTCATCTTCCCACCATCCCATTTCCCCACTTCAGAGGAAAAAAAAAAGAATATCACCATTGAAATTCACTAATTCTATGCCCCCATCTCCCCGTTGTCGTCCATTCTACACTATATAACTAAATCTACTTTGATGATCCGATTGGGTCTCTCCACTTTTGTCACTTATAATATTGACCTAGCCAAGTTTGATCGTCCTCTACAAGAAAACATTACTAATGTTATCCAGAAATGCTTATATATATATATATATAAACCCAGCACTACCCACAAGCCATTCACATTCTTCAAAACCCCACTTTCTCTCTCACTTTGCTAAGCTAGCGGTCGAGCTCTTTCTTTAGTAATGCCTCTCGCATTTGCATACCAAGTTTGCCTACTTCCACTACTGCTGCTTCTCCCCTTCGTGGGCGGATCCTCGCACGACGAAGTTGATCACCTTCACCAGATTGGACAGAGCAGTCACAAGATCTCCAGAGACGGCATCCACAAACTAGTCAGTACTCTGTTTTCCCCCCCCTGTTTCTCTTCATTTCTGGCCTGGCTGCTGACCATATATCATGATTATGATTAATGGGGTTTCTCCAGCTGGTCAAGGATGATAAGAAGACATCCGATATTGCGCTCCATGGGATTCTGCTGTGGGTTTCGATGGGTGTGTTGTCCCCTCTTGGCATCCTCACCATCAGGCTGTCCCTTAGAGAACAGGGCAGCAAACGCAGAGTCTTCTTCTATCTCCACATTGTTTTCCAGGTAAATTAATCAGATCAACACACAGTCAGTCGATCGATTGCTTTGCTTACAAAACCCATTTTGTGGCTAACTTGCTAGCTAGCTAATGAGTCGGTGGTTGTAGTGATGGATGGAGTTCCTTGAGTTCATAATTAGCTATCATGCATCTCTCAATGTAGATGTAGCCCACGTCCCCCTTTAATCATTGTGTCGACGACAATGTTCATGAATAGTTGTGGGAGGGTTTCGCTTTTGAATTCGTTAAAAAAACAAAAATGGAGGTATATATGTGGATGGGTTCGTTAGAAAGCAAAGGGAATTATGATTCCTAACCACCTGTAACAAGTTTGTTAATTGATTTTACAAGTGAATGATTTCTCCCATCACTTGCTTCAATGATGATGACATATGGTGGATCATGTAACTGCTTTGATAGTTAATTAGTAAGTGTTGATTACTTACTTGGTTGGTTTTTATCTAATAGTTTTGAGATTAAACCGAATCCAATCATCTTGTTTGTAGGCACTTTCGGTACTTCTTGCAACTTCAGGCGCTATATTATCTATAATATCGTTCGAGAACAAGTTTGACAACAACCACCAGAGAATCGGCCTTGCTCTTTACGGAGTCGTTTGGTTGCAAGCGGTCCTTGGATTCTTGAGGCCTCGCAGGTGAGAAGCTAATTTTTTTTACAACGTGTATGATTCAATAACTTTTCAATCACGAAAGATTCTGATACCATCCCGCGACTAATTAGCTAAGCCATATCGATCATTTGCTATTTATTTTGACACAGAGGGAACAAAAGGAGAAGCACATGGTACTTTGCCCATTGGGTACTCGGAACTGTGATCTCTCTGGTTGGGATCATCAACGTTTACACAGGGTTAGAGGCTTACAAGAAGAAGACGTCAAAAGGGACAAGGCTGTGGAGCATCATTTTCACAGCTCAGGTCTCTTTCATGGCTTTCTTCTACCTTTTCCAAGACAAATGGGATTACATGCAAAACCAAGGAGTGATGTTAGGGCATAATGATCATCAAGATCAAGAAGGCGCCGGCGGTGACAGTAGTAACGCACAGATCGGAAGCCAGAAGGCGCTGGTGCCTCTGCAGCAGCCATCTCGTCCTAAGCGCAATGCACTGCAGAACTTGTTTGAATAGCTATATATATACATGCTGTTAAAATCATATATTATTTATGTGTTGATAATGGTTAGTGACTTATAGATTATATTTTGGTTTGATTTTGAATATTCTTCTGGTGAAATTTCTGCTTTTTTTTTTTTTTTTTTTTTTTGGATGGGGGCTTGCTTAAATGGATACCTATATAATACTCTTATAATTATTTTTTTGATGCTTGCACTTTGTCAATTGGTGGCTCTGTGGAATTCAATTGATGGAGTTCAGGCATCAAAAGCTTTGGAAACCATGCTTGTAGGTAAATTCGTCATTGGTTGATGTGTGCCAGTTATTATGATGGTTAGGGTTTTTTCTTATTTAGTTCATAATCAGTTTGAGGTATTTTCCCCACGGATTTGGAATGAATTGGTGATAAAAATTCCAATGATTAATTCACAATCACTCTTTGAAGCATGAGTATTCCTAACTAAACCTTCAACATTTAATCGGGGTGAAACCATTTTTTCTAATATTTGTTAATTTGCTATTTAGCTTTGAATCAACTAAGACAACGGTTGGCCAGAGACTACGCCCCCGCGATATCAGGGCAGAAGTAGGGATGACAATTTAGACCTGACCCGTTTTACCCGACCTGTTTGGCCTGTTTTGGGCGGGTCCGACCCGCCCCGTAGGCGGGACGGGGCGGGCATGGGTACTCTCATCGACCCGACCTGCCCTGATCCGCCCCATTCTCGACCCGTTCTTACCTAAATTACATGTAATTTTAGTCAAATTACTTAGGATTTTCCTTTTATCACATCACATTTTAGCTATAACAAAGTTGTAAATTAGTGAAAACCTCAATTTCTCCAATAATATAACTACATTTATCATAACATTGTTTGTTTTCTTGGTCTTATAATGAAATGAACGAATATTTCTAATGTTTTCCATATAAATAGCATATCCATTGGATCGACCTGCCCCGACCCGCGACCCATGATAAATTACCCGACCTGAACCCGACCTGCCACGGACGGATATGGGTAGCACGATACCCGCCCCGGACCTGCCCATTGGCATTCTGCCGCAGAAGGGTTGTCTACAATTAACCCTTTTTCAAACATTTTTCACCAATTAGGAACGAAATTGGACATTTTTCTTACAATTATCTTTTTTTTTTTTGTACTTGATGTGGAGTCCACATCAGCAACACACAATAACTCACTAATGGACAACATCAAATTTGATGGTCAACTGAAAGATCAAGCAAAAATATAGTAATTATTTTCAGACTTTGTAAGGGGTTTAAAAAAAATTATGTCCAAAATAATATTTAGGAGAAAGTTCATGCCAAATTGGGATATTAATCCATAAATTTATTACTTGCCACCTGCTTAGATTTACTCAAATCCGAACAATCTGTCAATCACTACTACACCATATAATTAATCCATACTTACTAACATAAGAAAATACTGAGTTTTCTTCTACCTCAAGTCTCAAACGTGGACAAGAAGCTAAAGGCGTTGCAGTCACACCATACGCTGTAGTTTCTTTTATCATCAATCCGTATTCAGAAGGACACGCATTCCGCTACGATTTGTGAAGAATGCACTAATAACATTGCTGCTCTTATAATAGTCGACATCGACTGATTTTACTGTTTATCTTCTTTTTCATTTTCATCGTAATCTTTTCACCAACACAGCTGGATTGTAATCGATGGGAACTATATATGGATGAATGAGAGGAAGGGTGGAGGCACGTTGACTCCTCTAGAAAGTCGAAACCCTAAACACCAAAACGTTGTTACTCTTCCAAGAACCAAGTGCCTATGGACTAGGGAGTATGGACCATGGAGGTGAGTTTGCTTATAGAAGAATAAACTCATCCAAAGAGAACAGTTTTCTGAAAATGGGCTAGTATGCAATACAAGATTAGGCCAACTCTTTTTTTTTTTTTTTCTTCATTAGATCACTCTCAAAAAGAGGAAATCGTTCAGACACATGAAGATCAACAGAGTTTAAGCAACTCTGGAACCTAACCAAGAACAGAAGTCAAACCTCCGAAACAATGGAGGCGACAAAGAAAGAGCATGGCGGGCCACACTATGAGCCGCGCTGTTGCGAATACGACCAATAAATTGAATAGTATAAGAACCCACATCATCTAGCATCCCAAGAATTTCCTGCAGAATAGTACCAATCTTGTTGTCAGCCGAATCCCTCGTCAAACACTTGTCTATGATCAGTTTAGCATCTCCACAGATTATAATATCTCTTAGCCCACGCCGACGACAGTCAACAATGCAGTCTCGTAAAGCCAAGGCTTCTAAGACATACGGATCCATCATTGCTTCATATCGATTCGCTGAAGCAGCCACTATCCCACCTGACAGATCAAACATCACAAATCCTGCCGTACCAAACCCATCCGCAGATGTTGCTGCATCAAACGTAGCCATTCTTTGATTAATTGGTGGAGGTGCTGCAGTTGCTCGACTGGAACTACTAGCAAGTTCAGTTGCTGATTGCAGCAAAGCCTGGTCCACCTCCTTCACTTGATGGAACCACTGATGAGCCAGAGCATCCATGCGAATTTGTCTTGATTGGAACACCACTGTACATCGATTCTTCCACAGCCTCCACAGCAAACAAATCACCTGCATGATCTTATAATCCGCATCTGGACCTGTTATCCTCATGATGGTAAAACGGAGGAATCCTGTGAAAGATCTTTTCTCCGCAGACGCCCACAAACCCTGCAAACCAATAAGACTCCAAAGCTTTCTTGCTACCAAGCAATTGAAAAACATATGTTCTATCGTTACTTCCTTACGGCCACATACGGGGCAAATAGGCAACAAGTCCATACCCCTCGAAACTAATGCCTCCCGAGTTGGCAGAATACGATGTAAACATTGCCATAAAAAGAAGTGCAACTTAGGAGGTACCTTTTGATTCCATACCCATTGCCATAAAACTGGATCAGTGAAGGAAGCAATATGTTTTCTTGTAGTGATTGGGTGAGCTTGACTAACCCAAAAATAAGCAGATTTAACCGAAAACCGACCTGATGCTTCAAACTGCCAAATGAGTTTATCACTAATCCTATGCAAGGGGAGAGGGATTCCACGGATTATGTTAGAAACAAAGTTTCTAAAGGGATTCGTATTGGGTGAGATTTGGGAATTTAGGGATTGAGAAGATAGAATTAGGGATTTGGAGAAGAATTGGGGAAGAACAGAGAAGAATCGGCCTAGGCCTTTAGAGAGATTGAGATCAAGAATTAAGTGGATAGGAAAAGGGATTAATGAGATAATTCTTTTCCTGATTTCTGCTTAATATGACGAATGACCCAAAGTACATATATATATAGGAAAATACTAGAAAACCCTAAGAATAAACCTAATTCTACTAGAAAACTACTAACCATAATAAGAAATATCCTAATAATAATTGGGTAAATGACACATTTGGTCACTGAGATTACTAAATCGTGTCATGTTTAGTCACTAGAAAAATTTAATATCAATTTTGGTCACTCGAATTACTGACACAAGTCACATTTGGTCACTCTTCTGTAGCCTCTGTCCAACTCCGGTCACTCGAATTATTGAAAAATGTCACATTTAGTCACTCGTATTACTGAAACATGTCACATTTAGTCACTCTCCCAAAAGTTTCCGTCCAACTACATTAATGGAGTTGGACGGAAACTGACGGGAGAGTGACTAAATTTGACCAGTTTCGGTAATTCGAGTGACCAAAATTGATATTAATTTTTTCTAGTGACTAAACATGACACAATTTAATAATCTCAGTGACCAAACGTGTCATTTACCCAATAATAATTATATCCATAAATATAGAAACCCGATATAAATCGGTTTCTAACATCTCCTCCCCCTTCAGACCAACCTTGCCCTCAAGGTTGAACCATGTGACCCACTCTTCCTTCCTTCTCGCGCACTCTGCACGGTGACTCCATTTCTTGCGCTTCCGTTTCTTCCAATCGTGCTCCAACTCCAATATTGGACTTCTTCCACCAACCTTCTTGTGCTGGTCTTTTTCTTCGAATTTCATTAGCATGAGCCCATTCTTTGCTTCCTTGACAAACTCAAACTTCAACGACTTCTCTTCCGTTGGCTTCACCCTCCAACAACTTAAGGAATTTAAGGATTCTTCCTTGTACAAGAATCCATCCTTGTCTACCAATTCCTCAAGACCTTCAAACAATTTTCGTAGAGCCACCCCATGAATTGAGAGTCCACTTATCAATTTAATAAATCCATCTCCTTTTTCTTCCAAGTTCCCCACACACAAAAGAGCTCTAGTAGGCCCACCCATTATTAGCCCAATGCTCTCCAAGGTTTCAAGCCCAATTTTGGTGATTAAACTCACTACTTCCTTTGGATTCCTCGGGCCGCCCCACCAATCCTTCTCAGCCCACTGAAAACCAATCTCCGGCCCGCATTGAATCATTGTCTCAGCTTGCTTCTTCCCAAAACGCGGCCCGAAGATCACTAGCGGATCCAATCCACGGAAGCCCTAGCTCGGGCTCTTCAGAACCAGCCCAGTCCGCCTGGCCCAACGGGACTAGCTGCTACCTTGCTCTGCGGCCCAAAGTGAAGGCCTGCTGCTTAGGGTTCACGATCGGATTGCCGCTCTGCTTCTCCTCTTCGTTTATCGGCCGTATCGTGTCTGGCGCCCTCCTCAACTCCGACGAAGAATGAGAAAACTGCCCGCCTCCTCTCTCCACCTCCTTCGACGTCGAGCTCTCCACCCGACGGCAAGGAGTCCAGCTTGATTCCGGCCTCCTCCTCAGCCTCGCGTCCTCGTCGTTCGCAGCTGGAGCCGTCAACGACAGTCGCATCTCGCGCGCGATCCGCGGTCCCGGCGAATTACTCCTGTTGCCCATCGCCACCTCCGCTCCTTGCAGATTTCCTGGATCCGGTGGATCGACTCGATCGCCGGTCTCGTTCTCCGCCAGTTCCATCTCGGGCGGCCAGCCCTCCATCCGCTCCGAGCCCGACGACGGCTCTCCTCCACTCTTCTTCGTCCCTTCCTCCTGTCGCTGACGACCCCGCCGGCGGATCGGTAACGATCCCAGCATCGTCGCGCTCACCCTCTTCACCGGAGATGCAAATCGGAAGCCCTTCGCCTTCTTCCACAGCAAGGAAAGGGTTCCGCCGTCGTCACCTGTCTTCGTCAACTTCTCTTTCTTCCTAA